AACTACAGCAAACTTTTGTATCTCAAAGTACACAATCAAGACAGTGAAAAGATAATGCACAGAATGTGAAAAAATACTTGCTAATCATGTATCTGATGAGAGGTTAATATTCAGAATACATAAAGAACTTCTACAACTTAACAAAAAAACAACAACCAAGTCAAAAACTGAGTAAAGGACTAAATACAGGCATACCACACTTCCAGACCACCACAATAAAGCAAATATTGCAATAAAGCGAGTTATATAGTTTTGGTTTCCCACTGCATATAAAAGTTATTTTTACACTATGCTGTATTATACTATGTAATAGCATTATGTCTAAGAAAACAATGTACATACCTTAATTAGAAATATTTTATTGCTAAAAAATGCTAACTACCATCTGATCCTTTAGCAAGTCATAATCTTTTTGCAACAGTAACATCAAAGATCACTGATCACAGATCACCATAATAAACATAATAATGAAAAAGTTTGTAATGTTATGAGAATTACTAAAATGTAACACAGAAACATGAAGTGAGAAAATGCTGTTGAAAAAATGGTGTTGATAGACTTGCTCAACGCAGGGTACCCACAAACCTTCAACGTGTAGAAAATGCAGTATCTGTGAAGTGCAATAAAGTGAAGTGCAATAAAATGATGTATGCCTGTAGACATTTCACCAAAGAAGGTATACAAATGGCCAAGAAGCGTGAAAAGATGCTCAGCATCACTCATCATTAGGGAAATACAAATTGGAATCACAATGAAAAAAAAAAATCACACTTTATAGCCATTAGGATGGCTATTATCAAAAAAATAAAGTTTTGGTGAGGATGGGGACCAACCCTGCTGCATTGCTGGAGGGAATGTAAAATGGCACAGCTGTGAAATCGGTTGGTGCTCCTTAAAAATTTAAATATAGAATATCCATATGATCTAGCAATTCTACTTCTAGGCATAGTATATACAGCAAAGAACTGAAAGCAGAGACTCAAAGAGATAACTGTATACTAATGTTCATAGCAGCTTTATTCATAATAGCCTAAAAGTAGAAACAACTCAATTGTTCATCAACAGATGAAAGGATAAACAAAAATGTGGTATTATACGCATATGGAATATTATTCAGCCTTAAAAAGGATTGAAATTCTTAGAAACGTTATGCTAAGTAAAATAAGTCAGATACAAAAGGACAAATATTCCATTTATATGAGGTACCCAGAATAGGGAAATTCATGGAGATAGAAAGCAGACTAGAGGTTACCTGGGGGTGGGGAAATAGGGGCATGGGAGTTATTATTTAATGGGTATGGAGTTTCAATTTGGGATGTTACATAAGTTCCAGAGATGGATAGTGGTGATGGTTGTATGATGTTGTGAATGTACTTAGTGCCACTGAATTGTACACTTAAAAATGGCTGAGGGTGCATTTTATCATAATTTTTAAAAATACACAACTATTCTGGAAGGGTATTTGGCAAACTATGAAAGATTTACATCCTTTTACATCAGTAATCCCATTTCTAGGAATCTATCCAGAGGATACATCTCCAAGAATATGAAAATACATATGCATAACATTATTCACTGTAACAGTATGCTTGTAATTGTAAAATATTGTAAATAACCCATATGCCCATAAACTGAATGACTGAATAAAGTATGTACATACAATGTACTACAGGGTTGGCCAAAAGGTTCATTATATTCTGTAAGATGGCTCTAGTAGCACTTAGTTGTCTTTAACTTCATTTGAAACAATTTTGTTAGATTGTGACAGCTGTCATATCAGTGTGCATTTAAAAAAAGACTTAACAAAATTGGTGAATTTTTGTGTAGCCATTTTAATATTGAAGATTAAAGAAAAAAAGCAACATTTTTGGCATATTATGCTTTATTATTTCAAGAAAGGTAAAAACGCAACTGAAACGCAAAAAAAGATTTGTGCCAGTGTATGGAGAAGGTGCTGTGACTAATCGAACATGTCAAAAGCGGTTTGTGAAGTTTTGTGCTGGAGATTTCTCACTGGACAATGCTCCACAGTCGGTAGACCAGTTGTAGTGATCAAATTGAGAGATTAATTGAGAACAATCAATGTTATACAACGCGGGAGATAGCCAACATATTCAAAATATCTAAATCAAGCAATGAAAATCATTTGCACCAGCCTGGTTATGTTAATTTCTTTGACATTTGGGTTCTACATAAGCTAAGCGAAAAAAACCTTCTTGACTGTATTTCCACATGTGATTCTGTACTTGAATGTAAAGAAAACGTTCCGTTTTTAAAAAGAATTGTGATGGGCGATGAAAAGTGGATACTGTACAATAATGTGGAACAGAAGAGATCGTGGGGCAAGCGAAATGAAACATTACCAACTACAGCAAAGGCTGGTCTTCATCCAAAGAGGGTGATGTTGAGTATACAGTAGGATTGGAAGGGAGTCCTCTATTATGAACTCCTTCCAGAAAACCAAACGATTAATTCCAACAAGTACTGCTCCCAATTAGACCAAATGAAAGCAGCACTTGACGAAAAGCATCCAGAATTAGTCAACAGAAAATGCATAATCTTCCATCAGGATAACGCAAGACCACGTGTTTCTTTGATGACCAGGCAAAAACTGTTACAGCCTGGCTAGGAAGTTCTGATTCATCCACTGCATTCATCAGACATTGCACCTTCGGATTTCCATTTATTTAGGTCTTTACAAAATTCTCTTAATAGAAAAACTTTCAATTCCCTGGAAGACTGTAAAAGGCACCAGGAACAGTTCTTTGCTCAAAAAGATAAAAAGTTTTGGGAAGATGGAATTATGAAGTTGCCTGAAAAATGGCAGAAGGTAGTGGAACAAAAGGATGAATATGTTGTTCAATAAAGTTCTTGGCGAAAATGAAAAATATGTCTTTTATTTTTACTTAAAAACCAAAGGCACTTTTTGGCCAACCCAAACAACTATGGAGTTGTAAATAATAAAGATGATCTCTATGAACTGATATGGAGTGATTTCCAGGATGTACTGTTAAGTGAAAGAAGCAAAGTGCAAAGTGTATAATATGCTTCTCATGTAAGAAAAAAGAAGCTATGAGAAAATACACATGTATCAGCTCTTTTGTGTAAAACAAAATGCATGATGGATACACCAGGGACTAATGTGATTAGTTACCAGCAGGGAGTTGGTAGGAATGGAGTGCAAAGAATTGGGGGGGTGGGACTGGCACAGGAGAGGTGAGAAAGGAACAATATTTGAGCGTATCTTTTTGTAAAGCTCTCTTTGAAAATGGCAATATTCCAGGTACTCTGAAAATAAAAACAATTTAAAGTAATCATGATGAGGGCAGGGGGACACAAAACAAAATATAAACAGTCACAACAGTCACAAATGAACCTAAGTGTACTACAGATGAACCACACGCAAAGGAGAGAGGAAGACAACTAACCTAAGTAAATGGAACACCATATTTTGACAGCATGGCTCAAGATAAAAAGAACTGCACACAAATAGTGTACTCTGTTAGGAAATTTCTAACAGGGATATGGGTTAGAAATCCTAAAATTACTTTATGTGTATCCTAGGATTGAACAAATATATATACCATGGATAATTAGAGCCAGATTTCTCACTAGAAGAGAAGGTAAGGGATTTTTGGAAACATGCTTGGTTCTAAGGCTTGGGCAAGGAAAACACAAGTTGAGCCTGGTTCAGCCTGTGGAACAGAAAGTAAGGAAGTGATTAAAAAAAATAATGGGCTTATCCAAAGAGTACAGGAGGCAACCTGAAGGAGCTCCCAATGGCCAAAGCTGGGACTCTGAGCAATAAAGTAACTTTTATTATAGAGTAACATATATATATATATATATACATATATATATGTATATATATATAAAATAATAGAGTAAAATAAATATTCATGAGCTCATACTGACACAAATAACTGAATAAATCAATGAAGGAAAAAGAACAGCTCTTCTTCACAGAATTATAATTAAGTGTAGAAGGAATGATGGAAACAGAAAACCACCATTAGGTAAATACTACAGCAATAACTATTACAGGCAGAAATCACTAACAGATGCTAAAATTAGTGAGCAAAAGGATATTTGCATACTCTCAAAGAAACTTATTAATTAGAAAGGAAAAATTATTGTTTATAGAGGAGAAATGTGGCAGACAGTACCTTAAGGAAGTGATCCAAGTTAGTGTAAAGGCAAACCACATTATGTACCCTACCTCACTGGTATGATGTACTGAGAAAGGTGGAATGTGATTTCTATGGTATTCTTGACAGAAATGCATAACCTCAATTGAATCCATGAGAGAACATTGGACAAACCTAAATCAACGGGCATTCTAAGTAGCTGGCTGGTGCTCTTCAAATGCATCCAGGTCATTAAAGACAGGAAGTGTCACAAATGGAAGAGACTAAAGGAGACATGACAATTAAAGGCAATGTGGGATCTTGGATCAGAAAAGGACATTAATGGGAAAACTACTGATTTCTCAGTAAGATCTCTATATTGGTTAATAATATTCCATCAGTGTTAATATTCAGTTTTCCAACGGTTTTGTGAGATGTTAACATTAAGGGAATCTGAGTGAAGGGCACAGGAGAACTCTACTATTTTTACAACTTTCTATAAGCTTAAAATTACTTTAAAAGTTTAAAAAAAACCAGTCGATCTAAATCTTTGGGGAACATGGTTTGGATTCATATTATTCAACAAGCTGAATTCATACTACTGATAATTATTTTTAATTTTGAAACTCTTGAGAAGTCTCCACTTTTTGCACTATCATATGTTTATATCTTTATAATAGGTAGTGTTTCAACTTATGCATTACCATGTCTTTTTTCACGCCTGACAGTCAGTTCCTTAAGAATACATACTAAGACCTAGTTACTTCTACATTCTGTGAGTAGCAGTCTTTGTCTAAAGGAAATGCTCCATAATTGTATTCTGAATAAATGATTAAGTAAAAGATCTCAATGCTATAGGAATTATTTACTTACGCTCCACAAAGGAAGTAAAGAGCATTCTGAACCTGCTAAGCCGACTACCTTCATCAGCCCACATCCGTATCACCCCAACTCCTGTTTTAAGCATTACATCATTGGCCACCGTGCTGCAAAACTTGGCCTTCAGATTTTCAATAGAACTGCTCCCATCGTAGACTGCAACGAAATTTCTCTTGCATTCATTTGAGTGCTCCATCTGATAATCTAGGAACCTCAAATAAATCTGTAACATGAAAACAAAGAAAAACAGTGCTTTTAAAAAGATACATTAAAATTTCTAGTTCTATTATCCAACCAATATGTAAGTTAAAACTGCATTGAGTTATAACACCTGACAGAAAAACAATAGCTAAAAGGATGATGCCTAAGTAGGTAAAAGAACTAAGACTAATGGTCTGTTTCTTTGGTTGTCTTAATAATGAAACCAAGCATTAAGGAACCTAAAGTTTGTGTTGTGTCTGTAAAGAGAAATTTTCCCTCCATGACTATCTTACATGTTTTCCTTGTTATAAAAGCAAACTCGTGGTACTGAGAAATTGGGAAAATAAAAGAAACATAATTCTATTACTCTAACAATTATTGTGATAAACTTTTTTTCCTTCACATTAAAAAAAAATTTATTTATTTTTGGCTGTGTTGGGTCTTCGTTGCTGCACGCGCTTCCTCTAGTTGCGGCGAGCAGGGGCTACTCTTGTTGCAGGGCCCGTGTTTCTCATTGTGGTGGCTTCTCTTATTGCGGAGCATGGGCTCTAGGTGTGCGGGCTTCAGCAGTTGTGGTGCACGGGCTTAGCTGCTCCGCAGCATGTGGGATCTCCCCGCACCAGGGATCGAACCCATGTCCCCTGCATTGGCAGGTGGATTCTTAACCACTGCACCACCAGGGAAGTCGCTCTTCACATTTTCAAAACCTAAGTTTAATTTTAAGATACACACATCCTGCTTTTGCTGTAACACATCAAAACTTACCTATACTCTTCATAACTGTAATCGTTCCCATGTCTTGTCATTTATTTACCCACTATCTCACTGTTGCATATTTAAGTGGTTTTAAGATTTTACCCCATAAATTAACAATTTCTACATTTTCAGTCAGAAAGATTTAAACTGGAGTTTCAAAATACGCAGTATTATAGTTTTTTATTTTGCTTAGTATCCCCCTTCCTCAAATTTTATAGGCAGCTTGCTACCTGGCACTAAGTTATTCTTAAAATGTGCCTGACCCATTCTTATTTGAAGAGTTCCATTAGATTGTAGGTTTAGAAAGACCTTGAGCATAATCTCCAAAAGAACAGAATGAAATAGGTATTATTCTTTATGGGCTGGAAGGAAATTAAGGCTCACAGGGATTAAGGAACTTGCCCAAGGTTACTTAGGGCGAGGATTTGAACCTAGGTTGCTCTGACTCTTAAACTGTACGTTATTCCCATTCCCTGGGATGCCTTCTATGTGTGCAGGCACACACACACACACATACTCTCTCATACACAGTTCACCTTTTGGCTCTACTTGTTCATAGGTAACTCTACAATTAAAATAATATTTTAGTGAATGAAGAATGAAGACTTCTTTGATTGCCTTTGGAGACATCTAGTGGGTATTCACCTGCTGGTTGCTATCCTGGAGGTAGTAGTATGATGCCACACCCATTCTTTATTTTAAAGGGCTTCATAAAACAAAAATGTCAGATATTTTTCCCCCTAACATACCTTGAGGACATAACACTAAGAACAAAAACTCAAAAATACAGCTCAGAGTTAAATTTTGACTAGTAACTTTGGCTTATTTGAAATGGCCAATTAGCCACTTTCAAGAGACTGGTGGAAATTCACCAGTAATGGATTTCCATTTCAAAACTGCATAAAACCTCCAAAAATACATTTTAACACAGAAGCAATGTGTTTGCTTAAAATATATCATTTGTTTTCATTACTTTCTTCATCATTCATATAACCAAAACATACTACCCAGGTTCTCTGGCAGTATCACTACTACTGTAATTATTTGTCTTCTCCATTAGATTGTACGGTCTTCTAATGAGCGTTATCACATGCTAATTCTGTCCGGTACAATTCTTGCTGACAGCAATTAACTAAAAAGTGACTAGGTTTATAAAACCTAGTTTGGTAGAGTTAAATACCAGGAAAATAATCAAGAAGTCTGAAGTATTTACTTTTTTTTTTAACTGAACATGGTACTTGTATAAGGCCATAGTAAATGCTCTTTAAATGTATAACTTTTAAAAGTCAAGGTTTTAAGGCAAGTTATATGACAAGAATGACATTCTTTTCTATTGTGAATACAGTTAAATACTGGTTAATAGTTTAATTCAACTGATCTTCAGAAAATATTTCTAACAATATGAGGCTGACAAATTGCAATGGGTGGAGGGGGACACAAACTACTCTTCTCTCACCTAAATTACAGAAGACAAGATCTTTTACTAAACATAAACACTCTTGGCCTCTTACCCACTCCTATACCTTCCCCAGGGAAGTGGAGAGAGTCACTTGGATGGGGGGGAATTTGGTCCCTTTTTCCTTCCCTATTTCCCTGGACCAGAGAGTACGAGAAACAGTGACCTGGGTAAATGGGTCTCTTCTGCAGATGCACTTTCCCTGGATGGGACGGTCCAGTCTAGACTGAGGTAGGAGGTGGACCTAGTGGGTAGGAAATAAGCAAGTCTAGTTTGATTCTCTCACTAAGTTGCTTCCCCTAGCCTTTAGTGTAATAAAGGGGCTAGTCTGAATCTCCATGTTCTCAATTGGTTCATGACTCCAGTGGGGAAAAAAACACTTTTTACTAGAGCCCCCAAAGAAATGCAATGAAATCCTCAGAAAGCTGTTATTTTTATGGAAAGCCCACTGATAAAAATAGACTAAAACACTACTTACATACTCAAACACCAATGACTTCTTTTGTATATATAAGTGAATATTTCTTCAACATCACCCATTAAGTACTTTACCCCATTTTGAGTACTCAAGGATTATGGTGGTCTTTCATATTTTTTCTTTTAAAGTACTCAAATAAAATCATCTGCTTTTTTTTGCGTTACGCGGGCCTCTCACTGTTGTGGCCTCTCCCGTTGCAGAGCACAGGCTCCGGACACGCAGGCTTAGCGGCCATGGCTCACGGGCCCAGCTGCTCCACAGCATGTGGGATCTTCCCGGACCGGGGCACGAACCCGTGTCCCCTGCATCGGCAGGCGGACTCTCAACCACTGGGCCACCAGGGAAGCCCTGCTTACTTTCTTATTTAACACAATTTAAAAAATTTGACCCACTTCTTACAAAATAAATTTATTTTTGGCTGCATTGGGTCTTCGTTGTGGCACGTGGGCATCCTCTAGTTGCAGTGAGCGGGGGCTACTCTTCATTGCGGTGCAAGGGCTTCTCACTGCAGTGGCTTCTCTTGTTGCAGAGCACAGGCTCTAGGTGTGTGGGCTTCAGTAGTTGTGGCACACAGGCTCAGCAGCTGTGGCTCACGGGCCCTAGAGCATGCGGGCTCAGTAGTTGTGGCTTGTGGGCTCTAGAGCGCAGGCTCAGTAGTTGTGGCACACGGGCTTAGTTGCTCTGTGGCATGTGGGATCTTCCCAGACCAGGGCTTGACCCGTGTCCCCTGCACTGGCAGGCAGATTCTTAACCACTGCGCCACCAGGGAAGTCCCTTGATCCATTTTCCATGTCAACTGAGAACAGTATTTTTTATGTTAACTTTAAAAAATCGACTTACTTTTATTAATAAAAAGTAACATTCTCCATTATTCAACATTCTAGGCCACACTCCTAAAAAACTTACGAACATAGAATCATTTCTTCACAAAGTATTTCAAGAAAGAGCAAGATCTAAAGTATTAATTTCACTTAAGCATTTAAATACTTAACTATTAATATTAAATATGGTCTAAAAACCCCACCTCTGTACATTCATCCCTCAGTAACCATGGGGAACTGGTCCTAGAAAGGACCTATCTGGATACCAAAATCTGCAGATGCTCAAGTCCCATAGTCAGCCCTCTGTATTTGTGCTTCTGCATCTATAGATCCAACCAACTGCAGATTGTGTAATACTATAATATTGAAAAAAAATCTGTATATAAGTGAACCTGTGCAGTTCAATTCTGTGTACAACTGACCCTTGAACAACATGGGTTTGAACTGTGCAGGTCCACTTACATGGATTTCATTCAATAAATATATACTACAGTACTACACAGTCTGTAGTTGGTTGAATCTGAGGATGTGGAACCTCAGATACAGAGGGCTGACTATAAAGTTATACTCAGAATTTCAACTGCAAGCAGATTGGTAGCCCTATCCCGTGTTGTTCAGGTGTCAACTGTACAGCTAAAGCCTTCTATGTTCCCATTATCTTTCCTACACATCCCATCCTAAGTATAATTTTTATAATTCCTATGTACAGTTTTAGATTTTTAAATTTATGTATCTATAAAAATATATACTATTTTTTGTATATTTTATTTACTTTTTGTATATATATATATTTTTAAATTTATTTATTTATTTATGGCTGTGTTGGGTCTTTGTATCTGTGTGAGGGCTTTCTCCAGTTGTGGCAAACGGGGGCCACTCTTCATCGCGGTGCGCGGGCCTCTCACTATCGCGGCCTCTCTTGTTGCAGAGCACAGGCTCCAGACGTGCAGGCTCAGTAGCTGTGGCTCACGGGCCTAGTTGCTCTGTGGCATGTGGGATCTTCCCAGACCAGGGCTCGAACCTGTGTCCCCTGCATTGGCAGGCAGATTCTCAACCACTGTGCCACCAGGGAAGCCCACTTTTTTGTATATTTTAAAATCTTGGATCAACTGTAGAAATGAGTCACTATCCATTTTCCTTTTGGACATTTAGCTTGCTTCCACTTTTTAAAATATTAAATACTGCTGTAAACATTCTTGTATTCTCGTTATGCTCTTATACAATGAGTATCTGGGTATTTATCTAGAAGCAGGGTTGTTGTATTATAGGACATAACAATTTTCAGCTTCACCAGAGCATACCAAATGACTTTCCAAGGTGGCTGTAGCAATTTATTCTTCCAAAGTAAGTTAATTTCAGTTCCTCAATCCTTGCTGACACTGGGCCACAAGACATTCAGTCATGTCTCAAGTAATATATAATAAAATCCTCTGACAAATGCAGAGTCAAGCGACAGCCACCATAATCAAGAAGTTCCATCACCCTCCAAATTCCCTCCTGCTGCTCCTCAG